GAATGCGGGCGGGGTGGGGGGGCAGTGGGCAGAGGGGTGGGATTGCACAGGCCTGGAGCGAGGGCTGGACTGGAGAGGCCGTGCAGGACTAGGAGCAGGGACAAGGGAGCGTCCATCTGGTGAAGTGACCATCATGAGACCCTGCGTGCCAGGTAGTCAAGCTTGGACTTGACTTCTATGTCCTGCCCGGACACCATCCATCAGGGAGCTGACTCAGAGAGCTGGGCCCAGGGGAGCCATGTTGCGGAGACTTCCTCTGAGGGATGAGCAAAGCTGGCCCCAAGCGAGGAAGGGACGGCCCAGGGTCACACACTGGGTGTGAAGGGATGGGGAGGGGACAGGGTTAGCTGCTCTGCCCCCCCTCACAGACCCCCCGTCTCTTACTCCCCCTCCTCAGAGAAGTCTTGGGGCTGGTGGACATGGTCGCCCTGGAGAACGGGGAGCTGGGGCCCCTCCTGTCGCCTGGCACCGTTCGGGGCTTGGAGGATGAATGTGTCACAGATGTTAAGGTATTGGGGGGATTCAGGAGGGGGGGCACTCTGCCGGGAGGGAGGGCTCGCACTGGGCCTGGGGCCTCTCCATCTCCCTTTTCCCTTTGCGGACTCTGAGCTCTGTCCATGCACATCCACACGGACCACGGCTGTCTTAGGTTCAGTGTTGTAGTCTAGGCACCCAGCTGGGCCTAGAGACACCCAGTGACGGTTCAATGCGTTCAGACATGCAAATCTCAGAGCGAGAGGAAGTCAGACACCGAGCCTCCCCTCACGGAGCCAAAGACTCACAGAAGGAGGCGCCGAGGCGCCTCTGCGTCCGTCCGTCCGTCTGTCCGTCTATCCCGGCAGGACGGATAGTGAACCTGGTTTATAAGTGGCTGGGCCGGACCCCACCCAGCAGGTGGCCTCGGGGGGTTTCCTACCTGAATATCGGGTCCTGCCTCGGCCACAAAAATCAGAGTCTTTGCAACTGGAGAGGGGAGACCCTTAGACTTGAACATGTCTAGATTGTCAGAGTCCCCGAGTTGAAGGTCAACGTTGGACCAGAGAGTCAGAGATGGGTCAACCTTAGAATCACAGAGCCTGGGAATTTTTGAATTCCAGAATCTGACAATCTTGAATTTGTTTTTTGTTAAACCTGAGAGCAGAGCCTTAGGGCCATGAAATAGTGAGAGTTGACCCTTAAGCCCTCCGGCTCAGCGGTCGCCAAGCTTTCGGACCTCACGGACCACCAGTGGCCCGCGACCCCGGCTGGCAACCGCTGCTCTGGGTAGTGAGTAGACAGAGGAAGCTTAAAACCAGCTCTTAGCAGCAAGCTCCATGTCGTGGTCTGAGCAGTGGGAAGGGCTGGAGGTTTTCTGGTCCAGCTTCCTCCCGCGTAACTTTGAGGAGCTCCCTGGTGGAATCCAGACCTGCTCGAGGCCAAGGTGCGGGGATCATGGTGGGAGAGAGCGAGGGAGGGGCTCCCAGGCACCCCTGACTCTGCCTCCCCCACCTCCCCGCGCAGGCCCAGACTCGGGCAGCCCTGCTCCGGGCGCTGCAGGAGGACGAGGAGCACTGGGCGAGCCCGGAGGACCTGCCGAGCACCCTGGCCCAGGACGTGTGTGAGGTAGGGGCGGGGAAGGGAAAGAGAACCAGCTGGGCAGTGCCGGGTGGGAAAGCGGGGCCTCGCCCCCTCCTCACCCCTCCTCACCCCCCCCCCACCTTGCAGCTGCTGGAGGAGCACACAGAGCGGGCGCCCCGCATCAGCCAGGAGTTCGGGGAGCGGATGGCCCACTGCTGCCTGGGGGGGCTGGCAGAGTTCCTGCAGAGGTATGGGGGGCTGGGGGCAGGGCGCAGGTTGGGGGGTGCATCAGAGTCCGGGATGCAACAGAGGGAGGGGAGAGATAAAAGGGAAGAACCAGGCAGGATGGGCAGGGGTGCCTCAGTGGGGATCACAGGCTTTGCTGGGCTCAGTGCCCGCAAGGACCCTAATCCATCAGTGTTCCATCTGTCATCTGTCATCCGCCCCCCTCCTCCCCAGCTTCCAGCAGCGCGTGGAGCGGTTCCATGAGAGCCCAGGAGTCCGGGAGCTGCCACCTGAGACCTATATCAGCAGGACCATCTCCCTGGTCAACTGCGGGCCCCCCCTGAGGTGAGAGCGCCCACAGTGTGCGGGGAAGAGGCCATTCCCGGGGGGCGAGCTGCACTGCGTGCCCAGATCCTGGAGAGGCAGGGGCATGGGCCCTAGAAACATAAAACCTGGGACTCCTGGAAGTGACCAGGGTTAGGCGTCATCCACCCCGGAGTGCTGGGATTCCAGAACCCGCTCTAAGAATTCCAGGCTTTTATTTACCTTCTTCTCGTACTTCCCTTTTTCATTAACCTAAAACAGGGAAAATCCTATGCCCGCCGCATTCTCCCCCCGCCCCCACTTAGAGGCAACCAGTTATTGCTCATGTCTCCATATCTTTGCAGAGATAGTTCATATATTTACCAGTGAACAGATATAAGTTAATGTGTATGTGCACATATACTGTATACACGTCATACATATGCGTATATGCATATGCACATCTCCTACCGCATACATGCAAATATATTTAAATATATGCATACCTATTCCTTTTCCTTTACAGTGGTTCTCAACCTTCTGGCCCTTTATATGCAGTTCCTCATGTTGTGACCCAACCATGAAATTATTTTCGTTGCTACTTCATCACTGTAATGTTGCTACTGTTATGAATCATAATGTAAATATCTGATATGCAGGATGGTCTTAGGCGACCCCTGTGAAAGGGTCCTTCGACCGCCAAAGGGGTCGCGACCCACAGGTTGAGAACCACTGCTTTAAGACCATGTAAATGGTAGTATAGAAAAAACACCCTGCCCCTTTAACAGCTTGGAGATCTTTCTGTTCGCTCACAAAGAGTTCCCACATTCCTTGTTCATATCTGAACTGTACCCCACTTCTTGGGTGTGCCCGCCTTTATTTGATCTGTCCCCACTGGGGGGATAGTTGGCTCCACTCTTTTTTTTTTTTCATTTCAGAGAGAGGAAGGGAGAGAGAAATATCAGTTGCCTTCCGCATGTGCACTGATTGGGGGGGCGAGGGGGGGAGAGGATCAAACCCCGAAACCTGGGTACGTGTCCTGACCAGGAATCGAACCTGCCACCTTTTGGTACGGACGACACCCCAACCAACTGAGCCACCGGCCAGGGCTGGCCCCACTCTTTTGCAGAGAAACGCCTGGCACATCTGTCAACTCCTATGAGCACAGGGACTCCAGGATTCACTGGGATTTGGGCAGGGAGTGCCAAACTGCCCTCAGGCCTCTCGGCTTTGGAGGGTCATAGAGTGCTACGATGTCAGAAAGTGAGCCCCAGCCAGTTTGGCTCAGTGGATAGAGCGTTGGCCTGCGGACTGAAGGGTCCCTGGTTCGATTCCGGTCAAGGACACATGCCCCGGTGACGGGCTCGATCCCCAGTAGGGGGCGTGCAGGACGCAGCAGATCTATGATTCATCGATGTTTCTATCTCTCTCTCTCCCTCTCTGAAATCAATAAAAAAATAAATTTTAAAAAAAGTGAGAAGGGTGGAATTTGAGAACCATAGATGTTTAGCGTCACAAGCTTTGAGAATGGAGACCTCCCCACTCTCACCGAGAGGAACAGACCCAGAGAGAGACTCCTTTCCTCCCACAACACCCCCTGGGCCCCCATTCTTTCCACAGAGCCCCCCAGTTCCCCAGCCGCCAGATAGCCCCTACTATCTCCCAGGCCCCAGGCCCTCCCCAGAGCCCTTGACTCTCCCCAGCACCTCATCTTTCATCCCTGTGTCCCACAAAACAAGGTCTATTTAAGGAGGGAGACAGGTCCAGGCAGTTGGGCTGAATGTTGGGGTTCCCGACCGTTGGCTTCACTGATCCCCACAGGGCTCTGGCGGAGCGCCTGGCCCGGGTGGGGCCCCCTGAAAGTGAGCCTGCCCGGGAAGCCGCCGCCAGCGCGCTGGACCGCGTGACCCGGCTCTGCCACCGGGTGCTGGCCGACCTCCTGTTCCAGGAGCTGCAGGTGAGCAAGGCGGAGGGCTGGGTGGGGCCCTGCCGGGACAGGGGAGCACACCTCCCCCTCATCCCCGGTTCCTTTCAGCCCATGACTCAGTGTTTGGGAAGCAGGCGGGGGAGGGGTGGGGGTGATGGCCATGTCTGGGCCATTTGGGGGACAGAGGGGATACAGGAAGGAAGAGGTGGGAGGATATGTTTAAGATGAGAACAGAGAGCCCTCGCCGGTTTGGCTCAGTGGGTAGAGCGTTGACCTGCGGAATGAAGGGGCCCAGGTTCCATTCTGGTTAAGGGCACGTGCCTTGGTTGCAGGCTCCATCCCTGGCCCTGGCCAGGCATGTGTGGGAAGCAACCAATCGATGTGTCTCTCACATCGATGTTTCTCTCTCTCTCTCTCTCTCTCTCTCTCTCTCTCTCTCTCTCTCTCTCCCCCTCCCTTCCACTATCTCTAAAAATCAATGGAAAAATATCCTCAGGTGAGGATTAACAAACAAAAGACCAGCAGGAGGGGCCTTGGGGGTTGGGTTGAGCCCCTCCCCCCAACCAGGTCCCCCACATGCCTGCCCAGCCTGCCCTAGACCCTAGAGCCCATTCACCTTGTCTGGGCTCCTGTGCGGAGGGGGCTGGGTTCAGAGGTGGGTGAGAGTATGTGGGGAGGCTGGTGGGAATGAGACTGAGGCGCATGATTGCAATGCATGTTCAATCTGATGAGCATGTCCCTCCTCTGTTCAGAAGCCCCCAGAGCTCCCAGCTCACGCAGGACAAGAGCCGGAGCCCTTGCCCTGGCCGCCAAGCCCTGCACGGTCTCTCCCGTCCCTCCCTGATCTCACCTGTCCCGCGCTCCCCCTGACTCCACTCCAGCCACACCACCCCCTGCTGCTCCCGCACAAACAGGCCTGCGCACTGCCCGCTGGGCCACTCTTCCCGCCAGTGGCCACATAGCTCCCTCTCTCACCTCTTTTGACGTCTTGACTCAGATGTCACCTTCTCAGTGAGATCTCCCTTGACTGTCCGTTTAAAACAGACTCCCACCCTGGCTGGGTAGTTCAGTGGGTAGCCCAGCTGGTTGGTGCGTCATCCCAATATGCCAAGGTTCAATGCCTGGTCAGGGCACATCAACCAATCAGTGTATAAATCAGTGGAACAACATCTCTCTCCCTCTCTCTCTCTCTCTCTCTCTCTCTTAACTCAATAAATAAAAATAAAATAAAATCCTTTCCTCACTTCTTTTTTTTTTATAATTTCTTTTATTTATTTATTTATTTTTATTATTTGTAAATCCTCACCTAAGGATATTTTTCCATTGATCTTAGAGAGAGTGGAAGAGAGAGGGAAAGACAGAGAGAAATATTGATGTGAGAGAAACATATTGGTTGGTTGCTTCTTGCACAGGCCCCGACCAGGGTCTGGGCCGGGGAGAAGCCCACAACCTGGGCATGTGCCCTTGACCAGAATCAAACCTGGGACCCTTCAGTCCGCAGGCCGACGCTCTATCCACTGAGCCAAACCGGCTAGAGCTCCCTTCCTCACTCTTGCTCTATTGGTCACCAAAGCACCTACGGCCACCTACCATGCTGTATCTTTTGGGTTTGTTTTTTTTTTATCTGTCTCTTCCCACTGGAATGCTAGTTTCTCAAGAGTGAGGATTTGTTGGAATGTTTCTAAAATAACTGCTTATTACGGAAAATTTCAAACATACACAAAACTAGGCAGAATGACAGAATGACCTTCTGCGGACCCATCTCCCAGCTCCAGCAAGTCAGCCCGGGGCCAGGCTTGTTTATCCCCCTGCCTCCTCCTGCCGTGGCTCCTTTTCCCGCAGACCCTTGACATCTGTCACCATCCATCAGCCCCGCAGCTGCATCTCCAGGAGATAAGGCGTCCTCGCTAAACAAACAGAACCACAAAACCAAGTTTGTCCCCGACACAAAGAACAATAACTCTTCATGTCATCAGACGCCACACCGCTTTCAGATCCTCTGACCTTATGATGATCAAGTGTTTGTTTGTCTCCTTCTGCTCTGTGTCCCCAGTGATCCACCCAGGGCTGGGCCCACAGGAAGGCTCAGAGAGGGTTTGCTGAGTGACTAAATGAATAAGTATGTGGATGGAAGTGCGTGTGGGGATGCTGGGAAGAGGATATAGTCTTTGTTCCAGGCCCCGCTACTCGCTTGCAGGCAGGGGGGCCTTGGCTAAATTGCTGGTCCTCTCAGGGCCGCTATTTAGACAGAGGGACAGGAGTTCCCGGCTTCCCAGGGGCTGTGAGGAAGCAATAGGACTGTGGCCACCAGTGCTTGGCTTGGGTCTGGCCCATGGCATTGGCCATCGTTATTTTCATAAATGTACAGACTTCGTAGCAACAGTGACATGTACCATTCACACCAGCTTTTCAACAAAAGCCCACAGGCACCCATTTCTGGAGGTTCAGAAAACTGGGCTGCTGTCAGGAG